TGATATGAGGTTTGTTCAGTCAAATTGAAATACAGATCATGTGTTTTGCTCGTCTTTCTGTTTTAAATTACTTTTGTGGAACTGCTGGATTTGTCGAAATGATCAACACATTCAAAAATTTAGAAGCAGAAATTTGTTAGTTATATTTACCACAACAAAGAGTAGAACGAAGTGTTGTCCGGTCCTTTTCATCAAATCATGGACAATGGATTTGTATTCTAATCAGATTGGGTTTGCGCATTGTTGAAGGTCGTGGTGTGACCTATAGTTGCATACATGTACCTATTTTGGTGTTGATACAAGCAGTTGAAACGCACAACTGAAGATTGTTCATATATTCAAAGATCGTCGAGTATTGAATACTATTACAACGAACTTTTCACATCAATTTTCTATTTTCCTAAATAGATATCTTATCGAGGTATTTAAATATCTGTTTAGCAGAAACAACAGACATGACAGATATAAAGCAAGTGATTCGAATATTGGAAAAGGTATATTGTTGTTTCCTGTGATATTGAATCTTGAACTTTAAATCGTAAATGCATATAGCTAGTAACATTGCTTTGTTAATGATAAATTAGAACATAACTTAAAAAGTATTTCTTAACAGCTATGAACATTTGCGGTCCTACATTCTGTCGATACTAAAATTTTGGCATTGCACAAGGTAATGTTTTTTTCGTATTTTTACCTCAGACTGTTTATGATATCGACACTAAATCAAGTGGATGTGTACTGATTGATATGTTAGTCAGGGCCACAAAATATATGTATCAGTTGTAATTGGCTTTGAACTAGATTTCAGTAGCTACGAGTACGCCGAGATTGGTATTTTCCATTTTTAGTCTTGTTGTTATTTTTTTTTTTAGTGATTTGTGTCAATCTGATAGTTCAAATTCTTTTAACTGATTTTTACATTTTTGATCTTATGTTGTGCTTTACACAACTATCTGTGATTGTCGCAAGACAGGGGACTGTAACTCAGTGGTTGTCGTTGGTCGCTGTCTGTTATATTTGTTTTTATTATTGTTTTGCAAAGAGTAAGGCCGTTGGTTTTCAAGCCTGACACGTTTATAATTGTTGGTCTTGTCGGTGCCTTTTATAGCTCACTTTATGAAATGAGGTTTGCTCAATCTAATTGATATACAAATCATGTGTTTTGCTCATAACTATCCGTTCTTCTTTCTGTTTAATATTACTTTTGTGGAGCTTCTGGATTTGTCAAAATGATCCACACCTTCAAACATTTAGAGGCAGACATTCGTTAGTTATATTTACTACCACAAAGAGTAGAACGGAGTGTTGTCAGATCCTTTTCAGCAATACGTGGCCAAAGGATTTGTATTTTAATCAGAATGGGTTTGCTCATTGTTGAAGCTCGTACGGTAACCTATAGTTTCTTCCATTTCGTCATTTGGTCTATGGTGGATAGTTGTCTCCTTGACAATCAAACCACATCTCCATATTGTTATATAGTAAAAATTCAAGAAATCTCAAAAACAGCACACTTGTCAAAACATATGGCTTGCATATAGCCTTATTCCAGACGGTTTTATAATTCATCTCTAGCAGATAAAATTATCTCCATCATTATGCAACTGTAAAACTGTTGTTTTGTTTTCTTTCCTCTCATCTATTTGCTGGAATATCGTTTTGTATATCCTTCTTCGACATGCAGTTTTATTTGCCCACGTGGTACCTTGTCTACGTCTTTTTTTAAACTTACAGCCACATAAGACATCAAATCTGTATACAATGCCTCCCCGACAATTTACCTTTTATTGTTAATTACAATGAATAGAGTTTCAAACATTTTGCACTTCAATTATAACATCAGAATGTTTACGAAAAATTAATGAAGTATTTGTAAATACTGACATTTTTCATACTTTTGTCGAATCACTATAGGTAAGATACAGTAATAACTCTTACTCGATAAAGGATGAGTGAGAACTGTGACAAGTCAATTTGATACCGATCCTATCATGCATGGAGCTGATTAAAAACGAGATTTACAAATTATAGTCCCATTCTTAAGAAATACAATGGCGTGAGAAGCACGAAATCTAGATCATAATCACAATTTTGAAATATTTACGAAATAAAGTCGCTATATATGAAAGCCTATCAAAAAATACAAGTGAAAATGAATTCTAATTTTACTTGTTCTTGCAACACAACGAAACAAGAGGGTACACAGCGCCTGTATCGCTGACCTGCGATTATGCCAATGTAAAAAATTTCTTTGTCCTGTCATAATAAACCTATTTACTAAAAGTTTGTTGTAAAAAGGACACTCCATGTCGTAAATATTCCTCACATGTTCAGTCTTCATTGGCCATGTTAAGTGTCTGGAAGTCTCAAATAGGTATCAAAGGGAACCTGTGATGCCGATTCCTCTATCCAATTCCATTCTTTATTTTATTTCAGATTTCCCTTCATCCATGTAAATTTTATTAGGCACTTTACTTTCAGTTCATATATCAATCATGATGATAGCTACAGATAACAATATATGTTGTATGATTTAATAGTACAAGTCAACGAGTCCTGTTAAAATGAATTTTAAAACAGTTACTATTGTTGAAAAATTCACATCCTTTTACTTATTCATGTTGAAAAAACGAGATAGAAAGTTTCTAATAAATGGTGTAAATCTATTGTTTTGAGTGCATAGGGTGATTCATAATATTACTATTATGTTAACTCTATTGTTTGATATATTTCGACATAACAAAAAACGCCTTCTTGTGTTCATAATTATACATGTAATGTTTTTGTTTTCATGTAAATTAAGATACGATATTTTTAACGCATGAAAATTCCTCGCTAAATAATGAATACCAGTTCAATCTAAAGTTTGGAAAAGACAAGAAATGTCGTCTTTGTACAACTTATGTCTCATTATTTCCAAAATATTATAAACGTTTAGATTATTGGTCTAAAATTTAAACTTTTAACAAGAATAACATCTTGAATTACACTTATCTCTCCATACAATATAAAAGACCAAAATGTCTATAATAGTTGTTGTAGGTTTCTTATCAGTTGTCGATATTTCTCTAAATCTTAGCTGATGTAAATAAAATTCATCCAAGTCACGAGGCTTATTAGGCGTTTCTGGTTTCTCGTTTTGTATATAAATTACTAGTAAACAGTTGGTTTTTCTGTTTGAATGGTTTTAGACTAGTCATTTTTGGGGCCCTTTATAGTTTGCTGTTCGGTGTGAACGAACTTTTTGAAGGCTCCGTGTTAAAGGCCGTACTTTGACCTATAATAATAATGGTTTACTTTTACAAATTGTGACTTGGTTGGAGAGTTGTCTCAGTGGCACTCATACCACATCTTCTTATATCATATTATATTCATGATATTGGACGCCAGACGCCTTTCGTCTACAAAACACTCATCAGTGACATCAGAATAACAAAGTTTAAAGGCCAAATCAAAATTTCCACAAGTGTTTAAGTAGTTTTATAATCAACGTTTGATGCCACAACTGTATCTCGTGCAATACGATATTTCTTCAATTTCGACTGTGAAATTGTTCATGCATTGAGACACCCAATCGCTCTCTTATTGACGGAAATGCAAATTTGACTGCCAGATAACAATATTAAACTAATATTTTGAAGCACTCTTCGTTTTTTCTATCAAGATCTTGAAAAGTTTATTTACTACCCATTTATCAGATCAATGATGATGAAAGTAGGAAAAGGTTTAGTTTATTTACTTCAAAGTTAATATTCGATTCCGAATGTGGACTATTTATTTAGATAATATTTCATATAGATTTGATATTTCATGAAAGGTTAGATAAATGCCCTTAACATATTACAGATAAAAGCAAATTTGGATATTATTCATCTCGGTACAATATTATATTTATTGTAACTTGAATCATTGGCTCATTACATAGATATGAAATATCTAAAAAAAAAATAAAAAAAGGAGAAGATAATGATAAGGAGGTAATCAAATATAAAACCACAAGTTAATACACCACGGCTATATGATTTGTTTTGTTTTGTTGATGTTTTTTGTTGGGGGAAGGGTATTTATTAGCTAACTTGTTTCTTTGTGTTTAACTGGAATTTATTATTCATTTGACAGAATTAGTTCATATATTTTGCAGTATTGTCAGATTAAAGATTCCTTGAAATGTAGCGAACTACTAGATCGATCAATTGAACATGTTTAACTTGAAGTTATTCCTAGACTATGTCTGTTCCTGATTTAAAACAACAGCTTGTGATTCAATAAATCTGTAAGAAAAAAAAGAAGACAGTCCGAAAGAGTCCATTATGTGTTGTTTTCAATCTACTTTATAGTAATTAACGAACACAATGGTATTATGTAAATTTGTTTTTGCATGACGTGACTTTGAGAATTGCAGGACAAACAATATACACAATACAACAGTAGGATTACAGATTTCCGTTGATAAGGAGAAAGGCAATGATAACAAAATTAAATAAATAAGACAAGTTCTTTTGTTAAAAGAAAATTTGAGAAGCTGTATTTAATCAGTACAAAATACTTACCGTAGTATTGTCGGTATATGTAAGACAGGAAATATGATCTTTCAGTTCAATATAAATTAAATGAAACTTCCTAGATAATGTTAAGGTGTTCGTAGAAAAAAGTTTGTCTGTTGTGCTGCAATATACATGTACAATAGCTATGTTTCATTTGTTGTGTATCCTTTGCGTTACAATTGTATTGCTTTGCAAAGTTTCAGAAACTAAAGGTAGGATTTATACGTGTTTGTTTATCTTTTATTTATTCTACACTTCATGCTATTAAGTAAAGTTGATCGAAATCTTAATATTTGTATTTCGTTAATGACGAATAACACTAAAATCACGATATTAAGAAAGCCTGTTTAAATATACTATTTGGTTAAAAAACTTATTTGATTTTACTTTACTCATATACTCTTTTTCATTATTTTTAAAAATGAATTAACTGTGACAGTCTTGCTTTGTTTTAGGAGAACCAACACGTGCATTTTTAACTAACAGTACCTTTAGTTGGTCTGATGCAATCGGCAAGTGTAGACTGATTCAAAATGAAACGACTATTCCTTATTCGCAATCCCCGACAGGACTGGGATGGACGAATATATCCGCAGAATATTTACCCTGGGTAGAGTATTTAGGTAAGAACATTCCGAGTATATGTTGTTAGATTGTTTGAAGTAGTACATGTATGTTTTAATCTGGACAGTATCATTTACTTGGGTGGTTGTTAATCGTTTTCTAAAACCATATGCCCTTACATTTAGTTACATCCGTAAATTCTTTCTCAAATTCAATGTGAATTTTGAAATGTTCTATCAGTAATCAACATCGATCACCCTCATTTGTAAATTGTACAGAAACAAAATCTTTTAATATCCATTTTCGAAGTGTTACTAACCTATACTAAAATATTCAAGTGAATTAATGTTGCTTCATATGTGTATTTATTGCTTATCAAATATGATAAAACCGCTAGAATGTTTTTAGTTGGACAAACGATCTCTCGTATGACCGACATTATTTAAATGACAGATTTTTTCAATATCTTTTCAATTGAACTATGTTACTGACTACCCCTATAAAGCTAACATTTGATTAGTTTGGATAGTTTGTCCTATTGGTTCAATGGTGGTTTTTTTTTCTAATTAATCTTTTTTGTATTTTTTTTGGTATTGTCCAACTGTAGTTGGGTTTTCAGCAATCTACTGTCGACTGATGATATAAAATTCTTACTTTTACAGTTTTAACTATGTACCTCTCCAAAAAAAACATGAAATGTAGGAATTGAACGTGTATATATGCGTATGTGTGTGTGTGTTCTCAGTAACGGTTGTTTTGGTTTTTTTTTTTTTTCAAAACCGGTTACTTATACTGTGAACGCACTATGTAGTGATCCGTTTTGAGTAAATACGATTCCCAAAGGTTTTTCTGTTGCCTTGAGTAGTCCGATTAATCGAAGTATGAAATTTAAATATCGGTACATTACTGTTGCCTACACTTATCGACAATGCAGATTATTACAGAAATTCAAATTTTGTTGTTGTCTCCTTGCCAGCCAGCCACCTTACAGTTCTCATTTCAATCTTATATTTGTATACATATATATTACAATATGTAATTTGGATTTGACTTTTTTATATTAAGTGATATTTAATCAATCGCGGTGGTGTTATGATTTTGTTCCCGCTGTATATGCATGATATTTGTTTAACATTTCTAAAACAAAAAATAAAACAATGAAATGAAATGAAGAAGTATGTTTTTGCATTCTATCATTGCATGTAATTATATAATAAAACAAGATCTTCAATATAAAATATATCGACAGAATATTAGAAAGGAAAGAAGTATTCTCAACGCTATGGACAGTTCAAGATAATTGAATATCATATACATTAGGCATTAAGCTACAGTCTTTTGAACATGGATCCATTTTCAATTTCATTTGTTAAATTGAAACGTAATCTTATTGACAACCCTGGTTGAATAAATCATCACAATATACTTGTTTTCCTGAAGAAAGATTGGAAGTAAGAGGTACAGAAATCTGTTTAGTCAAATATCTATACGACCTGGTTAAATATTGTCTTAATGAGGATGTTTGTGGACTTTAAGCAACCAGCACAGAAACAGGGTATTTGAATCGTCATCTTTGTGTTAATACCAAAGGAGAGGCGTCAGTTTTGCTGTGAATTCCAAGTTTTTTTTAGTTAATCGTTCCAATTGTCTGCATATAGGAACAATTTTGTGTGAAGCTTTGTCTTTTCGATTAATAAAATAAATGTCGTGAAGCGAAAATGAAGCATCTACTACTACTGGACTCCAGTTTTAGTGCATCTGATTCAGGCTTGATCTATTCCGGAATAGTCCTCAATTGCATCCTCTAGTAACCTGGAGTACTATTTCAAGTTGATGGGCAGGGGAAATTGCTATTTAGGACTTAAACAATAGATGAAATAAACATCTACAGAGGTTAGTACTCATTATACGTATCACCGACAAAGTACAATAACGATAGCGTTTCATCATCGCAAACATGCATCTCGATAGATTTAAAGTATTATATTTGAATTATCTATCAGCTGTAGTACGGTGGAACATAAGTCGTAAAAATAAAGATTAAGATAGCATTCCACTATTAAATGTGTGATGTAAGTTCTATATACCCATCATGCCCATTAGTAATACGATGTAAAATGTCAGTCATAGAGTTGACACAAATCAAGACGTATTATATGTTTCTTATATTTCATTGGTGTAGTCGTCAACCACGAGCTCGATCGGAATATAATAGACTAAGGTTTAGAATGAGCATAATACTTCCCTACTTCAGTTCCATATATCATTGAATCATATTTGTATTGTTTATATACAGGGTGCTTCAAGATGTGGGAAGGAAAAGGCTTAAATGCCATACAAAAACATGTTACAGATGGTGAACAGCTTAAAGAATGTATTTTACGCTGCGAGGAGTATCAATTTCTTGGTTTGCAGGTAATAAGTAGTAGAGGAAGGTTCAAATATGTATGAGTGGAAGTTAAATCTTTATATTATTATTTTGCATATTCATAATAACTTACTTCGTTCAGAAAGAGTCACATGTTGAACTGGATTTTTAAGGGCAAAAAAACAACAGATAGAAAAGTGATATTGCACAGTAATAATAAAAATATAAAAAAATATATAAAAAAGCTCAATCCTTTGCTTTGCAATCGTACCAGCCAATAATTCATTTATTCATTTCTTGTTTTGCTCTATTTTCAGTGTATTGATTGATTTTAGCCTTTGTATGTGGTCAATACATCCTCGTATAGACCTCATAAAAAGGCTACAGTTGTAAAATAATGCTTTTAATTTGTGATAATTTCACTGAAATGTAATTAAATTTTCGTATTACTTCAAAATTACGCTGATGTAGTAGGGAATTAAAAAGAGCAAGTTATAAGTACATATTTTGGCAGTAACATGACTCATGGGTGCTGTTTGATTTATAAATACAACTCCGTAAGAATACGAAATGTGAAAATTTACGATAATCAATTATTCGGCCCTTAATAAGCTTAGGGCCGGATACAAAATTATACTGTTAGACAGTGGATATTAACATATGACAAAATCATTATAATTTATAGTATTGTTATGTTTATAAACTTGTATTGAGCATAGACGAAAAACTGTCATTTCATGAATACTTTTCTAACATGCAAGCATGTGTATGTTAATGCTACTGATTACACCGCTAGACGAAATAGATAAAAAAAATGGTTTCCGCTTAGAATTTCTAAACAAATATATAACATTTAATATAAACATTTCCTGCTTATGTCTCAACTGGAACATTCTAAACGCAAGTGTTAAAAATATGATACATGTATACATTTCAGGCAAATTCATCGCAGTGTGAAGAATCTCAGCTGTTATTAACGAAACAAACGTTTTTTTTTTTTAGTTTTCAATAGAAGTGGCACTTTCGCTTTTCCGATGTTAAAAAAAGTTGTTCAGTAATAATACTTGATAATTCATTTATAACATGGACAAAAAGTTTTTTTGATAATTTTTATGAACAGAAACAGTTCAGTATCGAAAAGCAATTGTAGATCTTGTAAACATTATGTAATATTTATCTTTATTTTTCTCAACACAACAACTCAAAGGATATGTCCGCGTCGTATCCTTATTTTAATGAGCTTAAGGGATCAACTCTCTTCAGATTATTTTCACACATTGACCTGCTGTATATTCATAGCGATACGGAAGGACCAACATTTCACCTATTAACATTGATGAACAAATGTGCATGCATTTTGTACCTCAGAGACAAGCTTGTAATCAGCGAAAAAAATTATCTTTTCTGATGTTTTTAATAATTCGTCAATGTGGAAAAATATTATATTTGTTTTATTCAGAGATCCATAATTGATGAAGCTAGCGTAACGACAAATTAATGCGAACAGCGGTATTTTCTGTACCTACTGCAATTTTGGTTTAATGTACACTGTGATAATCACACATAGAAAAGGATAACAATTAATAACATATTATATATATTTGTTTATTTTCGTACATTATATTTATATTTGTAATAAATGTACCACATTTTCTGTTCTTGTAGAAATCGTTATGTATCTGCCTACGTAATTTCACACTAACAGAGGAATTTATTGAGACCCATTGTGATAGAAACGTGACAACATGTTCCGGGGATCGGTTTGCCTTTTGTGGAAAGGAAGACGGAAATGGTTACCTTTCTGTGTATAAAAAAGGTATTTCCCACATACACGTGTGTCCACATTAAATATTACAAATAAGTTGAAAAACAAATGATGGCTAGATTGTCAAGTTAGAGACAACCATCCATGACCATCCATATAATAGTTATAAGTTTAAGCTATATGTACAAGCAATTCATTTGATGCTTTCATTATCTGTTATACTCACACATTACAGCATGTTCTATGTTTTTGATATGTTATGCCCGTCCTCATTGATGGTATGTATACTTATACCATGTTTAGCATACAAAAAGGGATATTCTTTAAATTGTTTGATAGAATCAGTTCACCATGAGGTTAAAATAGAAAATATAAACATTATTAAAATGCCTTTGCAAATTGTAAACCATTGAGGCTTGAACGCATCTCCGCGAAATAATCATTTTTCAGCCTGATAAAAACACTAAAAACATCATATATTTTCTCAAAAACTAAAATAAGAACATTGTGCCGCGAAAGAAGTAAAGCAAATTATCTATAACAAAGATTGTGCAAGAAAACGATTTAATTTGGTGTGAATACAAATAAAATAGCACATTTGAAATGAAGTCCTCGTTTTCTTGTCATACAAAATATTGCTTTCAAATCTTATATTTACAACCGAAGTAAATGATGGATAAACATTATATATAAAATTACAATAAACAAACAACCGTATTGAATTTCAATTAAATTTGTGACAAAAGTGCATTGCATATTTTTTCCAACAAACAAACGCACGTTCTATAAAACTAAGAAGGCTTCGCTATGTTAATTTTATACTAAGACATAAAGATCTTACTTATAGGAGTATTTCCTTGTTTAGATATCTCAGTTTTCATGTTTTGTAACATTTCCCCTAGTTAAGCCATTCACTTTCAAAGTAAACAGAGCTTGGCGCATTTTACGGCACCATGATTAAGTGCAGAAACTTCAAGGAAGGAATTACAGAAGTAAATGTAAGAGCAATTCGGAAAATTTGTTCTAAAAGTTACCGATTCATTTATCTAGTCCCAAAGGAGTGCCAGACAAATCAAGGTCAAAAGTCACGGTTTATGTCTTATTTCAATATGACTAAACGGCGATGTTAGTAATACATCATGAGACAACATCCAAAACGACAAGATAACAAGCGTGATCTAGGTGTCACCAGGTTAGATTTTATCTGTTCTTATATATGCTACAAATCATATAGTGAGACTTATCAGTGATTTTTAACGATGGTTTGCCATCCTAATTGATTTCTCTGGTGTTTGTATATTGATTAGCAATGTTAACACTTTCATGCAGTTTTAGTGCCGTAGAACTGTGATCCGTTATAATTGAAGTGGAAACTCGTTGAAATCGGGAATATAAAGTTTAGCTCCACCATAGCTTATTTGTTCATATAATCGTAAGCTTGTTTTATTTGTATGTTCTTAAGTAAATGTTGATGATACATATGGTAACATTGGAAACTGCTTGTTTGTAAACACAAGTAATTCAAACGATTTCAAAGCCAAGGAATGCTCAACAAAATTCCATCACATATGTTTGAATTGTAAGTATATGTATACTGTAAGGCATCAGCTACTAGATATAATGTAAACATTTCTATGTCGATTTTGTGACTGTAGTTTACTATACATGTATATATGAGTAGAAAATATGATACACATCTATAGAACTCACGGCAGTAAAAAATCTATACTTTCATCAGCAACCGTAAAACAAGTTGTTGGTTATAATATCAATCGGGTAAATGAAGTGTAACACGTGATAAAACGAGACAGTTTCTACACGTAAACAGTTTGTGAGTAACTCTTGAGTAAACGAAAATCATAACTAATAATTAGTAGGTCGACATAAATGTGGTAGACCTCACTTCGAGACCAACAAAGGAACGAAATAGAAGTAGTAAGTCTTCCGCGAAACCAACAAACATGACCCATATAAAAATAGAAGACCTAACCAAAAGTGACTCATTTAATGCATAAAATACAAAATTACCTCATTTTGAGATCTTACCACACCTACTACATTTCTTAAGGTTAATCTTGCTGGTTCAACGTCTATGAGGGACTAAAAAGGACGAAATTGTTTCCAAAATTTAATTTTACTGCTATAAATATATTTGTGTGTGACTACCTTAACATGCGGTGGGAAAGAGAGTGAGAGAAATGCTAATGAAATATGATACACAGAATATAGATGATTATACTATTTACAAACATCATCCCGGAGCACCCCTGTGATTCCAGTATGATATGTACTTAACTACGTTTCCAACAACCCTATACAAATCAAGTATATAATACTGGTTACATTCTTCAATGAAGGTAAACGTAGACTAGTGAGATGAGAATTACTTTGTAACCGGAACGTTATATTAAAAAACAAGAAAAAAGCCAAGAAATTACAAGTTATTTATCATATATAACTGTTGCAATATATTTTGGCTTATCTATATTTAGTTTAGAAAGTTACAATTCCTTTACCGTTCAAAATTCGACAATTACCTTTGTGGCTTAGCATATTTTCCTAGTGATTTTATGGCACATGTTAAAGGAAAGATTAATTTGAAATCCATGACTGTAACATTATTTACCTTCAAAATCGAATTACTAGCATTACAGAAACGGGAAATGAAAAGTGGAGTTAAAAATATTCCCACTTGAAAATCAATTTCGTTTTGTCTAGACACAACATGTACCCTATTTGTTACTGCACCTTATAGTTTGTCTGAATACCAGACAATTTCAATGTTATATATTAAGACTTTAAAAGAGAGACATAATAAAGATGTTCGAGGGATAATACTGTGAAAAATAATAATTTTAAAATGTAAACTGTTTCAGCTAATGAGACTGGATTCAATCTGCAAAGTACAACTAAGTCTAATTGGAAAGATGCCTTTGGTTACTGCAAAAACCTGGCAAGCTATAATTTAGTTAGAGGCAAAATAAATACAATAAACGTTTTAGAATCATTTTGGCTTTCTAATACCAGACGATGGACAAGAAAAAGAGGTGAGTATATGTATATAAACTCATCATAGATACTAGGAACACAATTGTGTACGCCAGACGCGCAGTCTTTTGTATGGCAGTATTAAATTCTGTTTGATATCGCATATTGTCCTACCGAGCGTTTAAAAATACCATTGTTAGACCATTATCTGTTTCTATCGTTTGTTGTACTTTTTCCCCTTTGTTACCATATTAAAATTTAACAAGTTTCTAGATCTGTTCGTTGTAATTGTTTGGTTGTTCTTCCGATCAAGTCCACGTGGTTCTATAGGATATCTGGCAATAAACTTTTAGTGCAATAAAAGCTAGTCCTACTATACCACCAGAAAGAGTTTACGGGAAGACAGTCTTCATATGTTGTAAATGAACATCCAATTTGGATTTTTAACACGATATAATTCCATGTATTCAAACGTTTTAAATATCTAAAATTTAATTGTCGACAATGGAGAAATGTTTCCGTAGCGATTGTGTAGTTGATATTATATATCGTCCGGTTGAAGCTATATTTCAGGTGACCATTAACGGTCACTTAATTGATCTGCAAGAAAACTGTAACTTCCTTGTCATATTGATAAAATGTCGAAACCGGAGAACTTCGAAGACTTAATGATGTCAAAATTAAATTTTCACAAAAGAAAACCAGAGACAAAGCCAACAACATTTGGATCAACCAGGATTGATTCATAGTATGCATAGATAGTGATGCAAGAGTCCTACATGGAACTGTAATATAATAAAATACATTTCAAAAATATAAGATAGATTTTTTGTATCCATCTTAAATGAAAAATGAATGTCATTGCAACATATAACCTGTCGATATAACACGTAACCAGCTTTTTCTCGTAAATTAAGGCGACAGTATGTCAAACCAATGTTCAAATCCGGTAAATCGATTTAAAAGAGACAAATCAAGGTAACAAACAAAAACTGAGGAAGCCGCATGAACTCCAAAAGGAGCGAGACCGGTTGCATCCACAGGGTAAGCATCTCCTGCTATGCATGTAACCCGTCATTAAAAAATCACATTCAATCAAAAATGTGCCAATAGGGAATACGGCACAATTGATAAAAATACAGATAAGACCATCACTCCGTTATTTAAAGATTTAAGAACTCTAAAACATGTCGCATGTGAGTAATTCGTATATGACAACTTCAGCAAAAAGGAGTTTGATAGTCCTGTCAAGGTAAATACCCAAACAGAATTTTAGAGAGTTTGGTTTTCTTTATGTGTGTGTGTGTTCAATTGATAGTAGGCATGACTGATGATATGATAGTCTTTTGTAAACCGTAACCGTTTCAAAATATTATACCAATGTGCAGTTAAAGATAACCGCCACACACAATAAAATGGATACTGAGCAAATGACATGTTTATAGGATATACACTTATTAAAGATCATTCTTTAAACCAGTTCAACATAATTGAATATTATAGAACAAATATATAATGATCCTTCCTAAACTTTGTTTTTTATTTTAAATTTCAACCAAACTTTGACTAAACGTGAAATAAACTTTACGAAAATTATTATAATATTCTTAACGTTTATCGATATGAAATTAAGAAGATTTGATATAACTGCCAATGAGACAACTATCCACCAGAGACCATAAGACGTCGATATAAGCAACCATAAGTCACAGTACGGCATTCATCAATGTGCAATATCCATACCGTGTAGTAGAGCTTTCTTACATTTTGACGAAAGGTACGAACGAAGGTAAAGGGAGCATGCATTTAATTTACATTCCCACGATAACACTTGGAAGTTGGATTCTACATTTTATCCGATAAAACGGTCTTCTATTCTTAATAACATGTATCTTTTTAAATTTCAGCATATCGCAGATAAACACGAATTTAATATCTGTATTAAAATAAAGAAAAATCGTTTAAAATAGACTTACGTCCGATACGTTGATTATGTTATCCACAATTACACATATTTGCACGGGAATTGTTCAAGCATGCTTTTTTTAAATGTTAAAACAGAGACTTAAAATAAGACTCTTGTTTAAACCATTAACATCTTAATGAAATTCTTGCAGTATGATACTCTAAATTTAATGACAGAATTCGTAATTATTTTTATTTTTTAACGAGTATGTCATCATCAAATTGTCAACGGGGATCATCAAGATTTGCCAGACAAAGAAACTACAATGTATTGAAAAATGTACTTTAAAAAACCTGGTAGAAGGAAACATAAAAAAGGATGAAGTTTTTCCAATAATAAAAAGGTTAAATGATAAACAAAAAATATTGCGACACTTGCGATTATAATAAGCAAATGTTTAACGGAATAAAACCTATACCCCCCCCCCCCCCCCCACCCCCCCCCCCTCTGAAAATTAAATGATCGTTTGTATTCCCCAAATGATTTTTAGTCTGTTTAAAACTAGTTATATTTTCAGTTAATGCACGACTTATTCTATCTCATTCTTTTAAACGCCGTTAATTAGTTTAAAATCATTTATTACTTGTGGACCAAGCAGTGATGCACTTAACATTTACAGAAGATGTTAACACGAGCGAACATGTGAAATCCCATGCCAATTCCAGGGGAATAATTAACACACACATACACCCTCACAAACAGCTTTGATTTAGACAATCATAGGATAAATATTTACGAGATGACAGCAAAACAGTCCAAACTGTATAACAAACGTTTGGAGGTCCAAAAACCAAAAAGACAAACAATCAACAAATTGTACTGAAAAACCCGGAAAACTTAGGTGTCGCAGAAGTTTAAAACGTATCTGTCTCTGGCATAGTTGTGCATATAATAGACCAAGGCTAGGAGTATGTCTGCCGAGTGGATACAGATCGGGTGCTCCCACTCCTAAATCCGCCATCGAGCTCTAGTTACAGATCAAATAACTATGGATCTTGTTTTGTTCATTTACATACACAATTGAACAACTGGATGAGTAAAAGACCCCCAGTATATATTTTGAGTGTCATTTTTTTCGATTTTACTATTTTGGGGGTTTCAAAATTTACAATTTAGAAAGATTATTTTTTTATTTTTATTTTTTTTTGGGGGGTGTAGTTGAGCACACCTTTTTTTACGGGATATTTTTCTTCTTCTGACGAGTCTGTGTTTAGCAAATTTTGTTAAGTTATCTCCTTCACCCTGTTTTTTTTATATATATTTTTACATCGTACGTTCCTATGTTGCACGACTATCTTTTTGACACTTGTCGTAGCATGCAGTGTTTTAATCCTTGATTGGCAAATATTGAGGAGAAACGCAAATATTGAGGAGAAACGCAAACTTAGTCCCATGATCGCCTTGATTCAGATTACATAAATATGTTTAATTTTAAGAATAATTCAAAATAAAGGATCCCTCCACCATGTCTTACGTATGATTCGTCAAGCGTACGTATTTTTCGTCAAATTGTAAGAAAGCTCTAGTAAGTATTTAAGGACCCTCTAGTCCATTTTTATTCGGATTTTACCTTTTCATCTTAATTTTTTTTTTTTAAATAATTGACTATATCTAGAAAACTCTTGTATAGTTTTAAATTCTTCGAGTCTATCCTCTCGTTTACACCATATACTTATTATTGATGCAATATAATTCCACAACTATATTTGATTAGAATTCTTAGATGCAGCAGAATATCCTGAATTTTGTGTTGCTGCCAGAATAAGACAAAATGGTGATGTTAAAAGATCAATCCGTAGATGTAGAAAACGTCTACCCGGGCTTTGTATTGAAGTTGGAAAGACGGTTTCTGATATACCTTCAAAAATGTCTTCTACACTGTCACCAGTTAATACATTTTCTCGAAGATTGGATAAAACTTCTTCATTTCTACGAAGTAATACACTTCAAGGTATAACTATATCTACGTACTCCGCTTCACAAAAAAGTACATTTTTATCTCAACTTGGATCAACATCTCCAGCTCTGAAGGAAACTACCGGTAGATCCAAAATGGTACCAAAAACAACTTCTCCTTCTCGGGATATTCAGGAAAATACATTTCCAGTTCTTGTAGAATCTCCTTCTTCAGATGTACCGGGTAAAGATGAAATAGATGTTGTTTCAGGTAACGACCAACTAGCTATATATACGCTATATTTCTTTTAAGTGTTTCACTTTATATAATTCTTATAAGATTTGCATATTAGAGAATACGTTGATATGATTGGTTGAGAGGACTTCCGGTAGTTGTTCTTGTAAACAAGATGGCGGCGATAATAAAACAATCCGGATTGACGTTAACAAAATTTATTCAAAGTTCAATCTGCGTTAATAGTTAAATTAAATAGTAAACACAAACCATTCGTTTCAATGATAATAAGATTTTTTGTAGTTTATTTTTATCAGATTGCAAATTTCATGGAGTACATATTTTTGCGTTAACCAACAAATATATTCATGCGCCAGGCCTATTCAATGACACAAATATACAATTAACGTGTGATAGAGGTTACGAGTGTGAAAAAAAAAATTCTTTATCTCCAATTTTAAAGAATTATAAGGATTGAACGCCTTTTAAAAGGAATTTATTGGTGTATAAACTGTACCAAGTCACTCACAAACATATCATAAAAGTCCTTCGGACTTTTATTTGTTTGTGAGTGAATTGGTCGAGTTTATACACCAATAAATTCCTTTAAAAAGGCGTTTAATCCTATAATAGCCCTTACCTTCTAGATTTTTTAATCATAACTACAAGCAAAGACATGAATTATCAGTTTGTTTCGATAAAAACATATATAATACTATGAGTGAATAATTTTGTAAGCAATAACAATAATTAATGATTGACTTGTGTGATGTATTATAGTCAAACGGTTTAGATTGGTAGAATTGAGTTTTATAGAAAATTATGGCTTGAAATCTAGTAAAAATATGTCCTGCCTTTGTAATATTTAAAGAACTTGTAAATAAAAACCGTTTAAATGAATTATTTTAAAAATGATCAAAGAGTTATTTGAAATAAAGTACTTTTTTTAACAGAAATAGTCATCATAGCAATAGTAGCTGCAACAATCCTCATAGTCATCGTTATATCAGTAACGGTTGTCTTCTGTAAAAGGTAAGTCATCGTTATATGAGAAACGAATGTATTTTGTAAAAGATAAGTCATCGTTATATCAGTAACGATTGTCTTGTGTAAAAGGTAAGTCATCGTTATATTAGTAACGATTGTCTTCTGTAAAAGATAAGTCATCGTTATATTAGAAACGGTTGTCTTCTTTAAAAGGTAAATCATCGTAATATTAGTAACGATTGTCTTTTGTAAAAGATAAGTCTTCGTTATATTAGAAACGATTGTCTTCTGTAAAAGGTAAGTCGTCTTTATATTAGACCTTTTCAATAACTCTCGACACCGACTAATGACATCTACAGTTTACAGGTAAAATGAAGGGGTCGTCTCAAAACTAAAAATCATTCATGAATAGTATTACTTTTACACCTTCGATTTATCGTTTTACACTATTTGGACGAAAGAACATATTTCTAACAAATAAGAACTATTATATCTCTCTCTTTTGTTTAGCATTCTTATTACATGTAGTTATACGACATTTTACGTTGAATTTATTAAACCTTCAAGTAAATAATTACTGCAATCAATTCACATAATCTGCCTTTTTTTCTTCTTAAATTTCATGATTATGTGAGTATTTTGATAAGCGAGTCTGTCAACGCAGATATTTCCACATGCCAATTGCGATTAATTCGCTTTTGTAATGCTATTTATGAAATTTGCTGAAGGAACATTGTAACAGGACTACCGTCCGTCCGCTCGAGTTGTGTTTCTCAACCGATCTTCACGTCACTTGTTGTACACATTCAATTTTGGGAGGGGTAAAAGCCTATTTGTTTAAAGGTCAAAGGAAAAGGCCACATCGATAATTTAGTTACGCGAGACTACTCCGCTTTAAGATACCATGTTAAAATTGAGATGTTTCCTTAATGAACTGGAAACATTAACGGCACCTTTTTTTTCTGCGCCACATGCGCATTTTTACAATTAATATCTCTTCAGTGATGCGTATGGTATTTATATCCCAACAGAGCTTGTTGTCATTGCAGTGTCTTTTTGACAGCGCCGAACTGATTGACCGTTATAGGTTGTCCGTGTCCCGAAAGACGTGAACATACCTTTTCCCCTGTCGTAGATTCCTTTCATTTCCTTTCCCTGTTCCTGAAAAATGACCTTCGTGTGTCTTGCAAGAAGCGAAGAACTGCTTACCCTTCCCCTTTTCAGGACATAGCTTTGGTTTTCTACTCTTTACTGTTTTTTTTCATGCATAAAGGTTTTTTAAATTTCATCACTGACCATACATAGGGGAGATTTAAGATCCCAATTATACTAGTGAAACCCGGCCGCATGTTTTATGCGCCTGAAACAATTCCTAAACAAGTTGGTCATTGCAATTGGTAAGTTTTTGTCACAATAGAATATTTAGTTTACAATTTGATATTTTGACATTATGCTTCGCTCTCATATTTGTTTCCTTTTTATTCGATCAAAGATAGTAACTTTGTTTCCTTTTTTTTGGAAATGGGTTGAGATTCGGGTCTTTAACCAAAATGCAGACTATGCGGTAACTGAATGTCTGTTTTATATGTTGCATTGTGTGGTTTTTTTCCTACTGCAGAAGTCATAAAAATGACAAGAGAACGAGAAAAAAAAGCTTACGATTTGAATCTAAATCTGAATCAGAAGAGACACCAAGGGCCTTTAAAAATCTTGGTATCTATTTTGTTATGAGTACCACTGAGACATTGGAAGCCAAAATTAACAGACATTGTAGAAACATGTACCGCCCTAGTCAACAGATATAAAACATTGATTAATTAAACATCTACTACAAAAATACAGGTATTTTTTTTTTTTTTTTTTTCATTTTTCAACTCGACGTCTAAAAGAAATGAAACATTGAAGTCCTTCCTTTTCTTCATAGTCAATTCACAAATAAATTTCGTTTTGATAAACAAATACCTAATAAACAAAATAAGGTACGGCACACAACAATTGCTTATCTACACGTCATGTTGGATAGTGGTCTCATTGGCAATCAAAATAATCATATGCGATCAATTATAATTTTTTTCAATTTTATTTATGAGACGACCCCTCATATCTCACCTGTCGTAGTCGTTCTCAACTGTAGGTGTAGACAATTGTTGAAAAGGTCTATTAGTAACGATTGTCTTTTGTAAAAGATAAGTCTTCGTTATATTAGAAACGATTGTCTTCTGTAAAATGTATAGTAATTTTACTGTATCATGTTTATATATATACAAAATGTATGTACTAGACGTGATAGGAATGTCAATACGATTTTGACGCTGATGTTAACTACCAATACCACTACACGCTATAGTGGGGACCATCTAAAAAAGTACAGATATTCATTCTTTATAGTTATCTGTATGGGTTTGTTTGGTAATGTTGAGATGATTTTTCAACAATAAAATATTAACAATTTATTCCGCAATATACGGAAGAGGATCCAGCAAAACAACACGATCATTATTCTTGCATTGTGTCATAGTAGGGATCGATTAAGTTTAAGATCGTTGTTCCCCCATTTCTTAATATTTTGTAGAACGAGTACAAGGAAAGTCTACAAAGTGATCAAAATAAATTAATAGAAAAAAAACCACAGGAATCAAATCACATTCGAATCCGATTTTTTACTCTACATCAATCTTTTTTCAAAACGTTCGTTTATTTGAAATTTATTTTTAAAATAATTGTCATGTCGGGGCCTTTCTTATCTTTTATATGCGGGAATGGTTTTGTTCAGTGTTTGGGGTCTGTCATACGGTGATCTATAGTTGCAAACATTTACCAATGTTTACGTCATTTGGTCTCTGGTAGATAGTTGTCTATTTTGGCAATCATACCGCATCTCCTTATTTTATATCATTTTCTGGAATAGAGAAATGTGTTACACAGTAGCGTAAAATTCTAAAAATAACCCAAACTAGAAATTTGTGTACTTGACAATTAAAAAAAAAGACTGAAACAAACGCGTTTTCAATTTGATTATCTTTATATTTTTATTTTATCTAGAAAGGTCACTGACAATTTTATGTAATGTTAAATGAATTAATTCTTATTCACATAAAAAAATTTTTGCCCTGACATTTTCCTTCTATCAACTTATATCAGTTAGTTTTTCGGAAAAGAGAGGTTATCGAATTAAGTATTAAGATATTACAACGTTTGGACATTATCAAGCATGTTAAATCTACGTTTCGGTGAAGGGTCGGAATTGTTTTTTTTTTCTTTTTACCACGGCTTCCTCCACCAACAAAACAGAACACCACGATTAAATTGAGATATTGTTGAAAGTGGCGATAAACTTTCATATGGAGAAGTTAATACATGTATTAGTATCTTTGGGTCAGGAGGTTATTTTGAAAATGGAATATTCATTTTCACCTCTTTCAAAACAAAGTCTGCTAAATTATATGTGGGGCATTTTTTTTTTCGATTTGCTTCATTTTGTTTTGCCTTAGATTCACTATAAACTCTGCTCTCTGAATTTGACGGTATATAGACGTGATAGGTGAATTGGTCCATCCGTCCGTTCGTTCGTCCCTCTGTCCATTCATTGCATTCATACCCAGAAAGTAGTAGACAATACGAATCAAATATAGCTCATAGAAAGTGGTTTTCTTGAACATTAAAACGATGCGCAGCAAGACAACCTTCTTCTGTAGCCCCCTGCTTCTTAAAGTTTTATATAGAAATAGCACTGTATCCGCTTGTGTCCACTTTTTATTTACTTTTTTTATATAAAGGTATAACGATGTGTTCAGATTAGTACTGATTTGTTTAAGCCACACATGTATACGCGTCCCTGTATCTCTGGACACAAAATGCATGCTAATAGATATAGGAAGATGTGGTATGAGTGCCAATGAGACAACTTTCCATACAAGTAACAATTTATAAAAGTAAACCATTATAGGTCAAGGTACGGCCTTCAACACGGAGCATTGGTTATATTTTGCAACGGAAATTGGACATATCTATTGTGGAGAGACAAACTGAGTTTATTAACTATTAAACAT